GGACAAGATCGATAATCTCGATGTTCAAGTCCGAAGTATGAGCGAGGCTATGAATACACTAGGCGAGGGTCTCGATACCACAAAGGCGTCTGTTCGTGAATTGATGGAGATAATGAACCGAAGGTTTGATGAGATGCACGCAACATGGTGGCGCGCCAATCACCAACCCGACGGCCCAATCGCGATCGGCCCGAACATGAAGGACGCCGCGAACGCGAGCATGATGATGACCAAGCGCGGCGGTACGGGGATCGGGATCTCGAACGACGCCACGACCGTGAGCGACACGAAGAGGAACGACAACACGATGATCGCGAGCGAGACGTGGACTGCGAGCGACGGCGCGAGGAGTACGAGCGAGAAGACGACTTCGACCGACGGTCCCAGGCGTCTAACTATCATGACCACCCGAAGCCCGAGAAGCCGAGGATCACACTGTCCACGTTCAATGGCAACGATCCCGAGGCTTGGCTCAACCGAGCCGTTCAATACTTTGATCTCAACGAGACCGAAGGACGAGATCGGGTAAGATACGCTGCCTATTACTTAGATGGAGAAGCCAACGTGTGGTGGCAGTGGCTTACTAGCGTATACCGAAGCCGACAGCGAGTCATCCGATGGAACGATTTCGAACGCGAGTTACTCACGCGCTTCGGCTCATCTGACTACCACAATTACCACAAGGCGCTATCCCGCATACGACAGACCGGCAGCTTGCGCGACTATCTTAAGGAGTTCGAGCGATTGGCATGTCGCGTACGAGGCTGGCCCGAGACTGCGTTGGTTGGGACCTTTATTGGTGGGCTGAAGTATGATCTAGCCGCGGAGGTTCGCTTAGAGCGACCAGAATCAATGCATGCGGCTATGGAAGTGGCCCGACGCCGAGAAGATCATCTTGTGGCAACTCGAAGGGGACGGGCAGATGCGCGCTACCCCGAGACACGACGCGCACAACCGGATGCAAGCGATATGGTTCCGAGCGGCCGACCACCTGACAACTCTCGACCGACTAATAGCACACGACCACCAGTCAAGCACTTGACGCCCGAGGAAATAAAACGCCGACGTGAGAAGGGACTCTGTTTCAAGTGCGACGAGAAGTTTACGCCTGGTCATCAATGCAAGCAGGCTTTTGTCATCCACGTTATAGACCCGAATGAGGAAGAGCCCGAGATCGAGGAGAATTGGGAGCAAGAAGTCGAGATTGGGGTTCCCGAAGAGGAGGTCGAAATCTCGATGCATGCGATGGCTGGTACAGGAGGACCGACGACGATGCGACTGCCGACGTTGGTCAAGGACCGTCGTGTAGTCGTGCTAGTGGACAATGGATCGTCGCACAACTTCATCAACGCCAATCTATCTCAGAAACTGAAGTTGCCAACAACAAAGGTAGAGCCATTCGAGGTTCGAGTAGCCAATGGTGAACGGCTAAGGTGCACTGAGTCTTATCATAGGGTGCCGATCAAATTCCAAGGAGTCACCATCAAAGCCGATCTCTATGCGCTACCCTTGGTTGGACCCGATGTTGTGTTAGGAGTACAATGGCTCGAAGGTTTAGGAAAGGTGACCACCGACTACCGGATGGGAGTCATGGAGTTTGACTCAGGAGAGAATCGGGTCACGTTAAAAGCAAGCAAAGATAGCAGAGCCAAGGAGTTTGGTCTCAAGAGTATTGAGCAGGTTTGGCATGGGGGCGGTCAGATTTTCACCGTCGAAAAGGCAAGCGCACATGTGGGCACGGTCGAGCAGGTCAAGTACAAGGATCCCCCTTTGTTCGATGACTACTTCGAAGAGATCGAGCGAGACTCGATAGGTTATAATGGCCCACCTATCTTCGATGTGTACCCCAAGGATGAACTCATGAGCGATGAAGTAGTCGGGGAAGCTGAGATCAAGGAAACCGAGGTCGAAGGTGATGTGCCCGGGATTTGGATGACCGAGCAGCAGCAATTCAAGAAATGTGAGTTGGTTAGAGCAACCGACCGCATACTAAGCAAGTCTGACAAAGAAGAAGGC